AAGGATGTACACCTTCGACGGCCGAGAGAAACCCTCCCGGCCGTCGAGGATGTACACTCTCGACAGCCGAGAGAGAACCTCTTGGCCGTTGAGAGTGTACACTCTCAACGACCGGGAGAGAACCTCTCGGCCGTTGAGGGTGAGAACTCAACGTTTCTCTTGGCCGTTGAGTTCTCTCTCGGCCGTTGAGAGTGTACACTCTCAACGGCCGAGAGGTTCTCTCTCGGCCGTCGAGAGTGTACATCCTCGACGGCCGGGAGGGTTTCTCTCGGCCGTCGAAGGTGTACATCCTTGACGGCCGGGAGGTTTTCTCTCGGCCGTCGAAGGTGTACATCCTTGACGGCCGGGAGGGTTTCTCTCGGCCGTCGAGAGTGTACATGTACATCCTTGACGGCCGGGAGGAATCATCCCGGCCATCGAGGGCTCTTTTTGGCTCGCCGACCCCCAAAACCCACTGGGTTTTGGGGCATCGACTCCATCCCCCTCCGGGGGTTTTGCTTTTTTTATTTAAAATCTTTGAGGATTCGACTCCCAAACCCGCTGATGGGTTTGGGGAATCGACTCCCAAAACTCGGGGGATACGGGGGAATTTCGGGGGTTTTGGGGGTTTGGGAGTCGACTCTCCAACTTTTGGGAGTCGATTAACCAAGCCCCTATATATATATATATCAGAAGCAAGCACCATCACATCCTTCATCTTTTCTAGAGAGTAATCGGCAGCTAATTCTTAAAAAAAGCGCAGAAATAAATCCAAAATGCAATCAAATTTGCAATCTTTGCTCATGATCACCCTAGTTGGTACTGCTTGGGTCAACGCACTCATGATGCAGGTCAAGCACAACAACAGTTTGTACTGGATCGGACACATAGATCATGTATCGAAAAAAGATGACGGGGCTCCCTTTGAGTTCTTTGGCAAAACCACTCCTCTTGAGGCTAGTACAGCCGTGTCCAAATTCATCAGAAATCGCACAGATCAAGACATTCTGGTTGGGACCTTCAATGAACACTTTCGGGGTAAAATCCTTCACTCGGGTTCTCATAATGACTACTTATTTAGTCATTCAAAGGGAGATTTCATCATAGTAACCCAAGATCTCACGGCAAAAGTAGACGCAAGCACGTGGAATGAAATTATTAGCAAAAATCATGATGAATTATATAGACGCCTGGCTGCTGAGAGGGGAACTGGGTCATCCTGAAAATCCTGTGGAAGAGGATTAACCTCTGCCACAGTCACAAAATGCACCAAGGTATGTACTTTCATTTTGATTGCTGGGACCTGCAGCTTATTTTGCATGAATTCCTGTTTGATCACTCTAACCCATTATATTTCTACTTTCTCTTCCAATCTTGGCACCACTGGAACATTTCAGTTGTCTAATTCACAGAGGATCATTGTTTTTGACCCCAAACGTGGTTCAAGAGTTCTCAAGTCCCTTAACTTGTTTCTTCATCTTCTTATGTCTTTCCCCTTTTCAGGTGGTGCTGTTCAGTCATGTCACAAGTTTGAATTACCTTTTTTTCCCTGGTAAAATATTGATTCAAGAGCTCTGGTTTGTATTTCAGCCACCCATTCAAGTCATTTATGTTGAGTTCCATGCCCCTGATAATTATCAATACATGCCCCACTGCATCTATACTATACAGCTTGCCCTCTCCGTTATAGTCAAGTTTTCCTCACATTGCTTGTTACTATAACAATACTAGTATTGGCACTTTTTTCCAGTGCCATGTAGAGTAAAGAGCCCCTCTTTTCTTTCTCCAAAATACAGTTATTGTGTTGTGGTAACAAAATCTTCAAAATGTTACATTTGGTCAACACAATAATATGTGCTGCCTGGGTCAAAAAAGCCCTGAGCTAGGGAGTTCTCTGATGTGGGGAAAGCTCTTTCCATCTTATTCCCTAAGCCTAAGCCAAATAGATAGAGAAACTCGCCCTCTCCAGGGCATTATTATTGTTTGTTTTCATCAACTGCATTCATCTAATATAATAAATTCCAAAAAAGCTCCTGTGCCTCCCAGATTTTGTAAAGGCCTCCCAAGATTTGAACTATATATTGTTTATGGTTATTGGTAAGGAAGGTTATTGCCAAAAAAATTCAAAAGAATACAATAACCAGAAAGTAATCTTGCTGCATGTTCCCTTTACTCCCCTTATTTTATTCCAAGAGATTTTCAGACTTGGTGCAATTGCAGAACTCTAGCTACTTGCCATGTAACTACACATCTGAAAAGAGTACATATTTCAAATAAATGCTTTCTTAGAGCAGCAGATTTACTTCTTGTTGATTGCAGATTTCCTGCGAAACGTATGGTGTGATGTTGTGAAAACTGACACTTCCATCTCCAGTGGTATATCATCTTTAAGGTTTGTTTTTATGGATAATCAATTGCAGTGTGATAGGTTCCTCCAAGGATAAATTTATCTCATGTGAAAAGGAAAAGTTTGCCCATGCAAAAGAAACACATAAGGAATATAATCAAATTATTATAGTAAACCTCAGATCAATGCACATAATACAGAAAAGTTATTTGTCTGAATTGTTGCCTGTTTTTGAATTTGGAAATCACCCATCTACCAAACTATTGCATAAGCTCTCAACCTAATCCCTTTATAAGGTAAGCCAAGGTATGAGAGGTCAACCTCCCAAATAGAGATGGCACGGCAGGTACATGTCTGATTATAATGTAACCGGATTCAAAGTGCTTGAGATCAAAGAACATCAATATTTAACACTTTCATCTCATAAAATACCACTTGTACTTGAGGAAGACACTCACCTAACTGCATGGGCTGGCACAGGTAAGGGTACAGATTCCAAATACCTACGCACAGGTACCTGTCAACAGGTATACCTGTTGGCCGGTACCTGTGCGCAGGTATTTGGAATCTGTGATTGTACAGGTGCCTTGCTATAAAGCTAGCTTAGTGTCTTCCTCAAGTCAAAGTGGTACTTGATGAGATGAAAGTGTCAAATATTGATGTTATTTTATCTCAAGAACTTAAAGCAGGTTCTATGAAATTCAGACAGGTACCTTCCGTTCCATCTCTACTCCCAAACGTATGAGAGGCCAACCTCCCAAACAGATCATCAAGCTGGTCCCAATAATTTAGAATGCAGCTTTTCATGTCCAATCCTCAACACTTTATCTGGCTTTATTGAATGGTTTTCCAATGAGTGATGCCAATTTGGGTCATTATCTTTTTGTATGTAAAAATATTGAACAACAAGTTTTTCAAGCGTCTTGCAGCAACAATGTAACAGATCAGATCCCCAGATTGGTATTTATTGGGGATTGGATCAAAAAGAGACCCAATACCGGGTATTGGGATTGGATCAATCTTCAATACGATCCTAATTTATTGGAAAACTGGGATTGGGTGGAGCAATCCAATCCCGATACCCAGTATCAGGTCTATTTTCGATCCAATCCCCAATAAATACCCATCCGGGGATCGGATCAAATACACTCTGGATTATATCAAAGCATGAGGCACGCAGCCCGCAGCTTTTGGGTGTTGGATTGGAATTGCAATGCAAACCCAATCCCGATCCAATACCATTTTGATCCGGTACCACGGGATTGGATTGCTAGTGCAATCCAATCCCTTATTTTCTACCTGGTATTAAAAAAACAATCCAATCCAATAAATTGGCCAATTCCGTATTGGATTGAATCAGTTTCATTGTTGCTTGCAGCAACGCTGCCACAGATACGGTATCTGCCCGTATCTGCCATGTATCACTATGTATCTGAGCCCCAATAAAAAAAAAACTATCTGACCAATCTGCTTTTATTTGCAAGGAGATTCAACAAATTTGGTTTTTGGCCATGCAGCTTTGCAGAATTCTCCATGATACACACAGCGTATCGTATCTGTGGCAGCGTTGCTTGCAGGTCCCAAGAATGGAATGTTTTTTCAGAACTGATCTTGATCATGCAATTCAACAGTGGCATCCGGCGGCTGGCTCCCAGAGGCCAGGATCCATCACTTTTGAATGTTCTTATTGATTGTTGGTAGCAATAATGAGAGCTTGTGCAATCAAATTTGGTTCTACTTCAAATCACTTGACACATGACGTTATAGAAACACATGGTCATCCAACTGTTTGAGGAATTGGACTCACCTTTGATTCATGTATCAAGGTTGGAATTTGTTTACACCTTCTCAAAGGTGCCAGAAAGCCATAGGGAGCAGTCATTGGGCCATCTGAGAGTGAGATTGAGGTGATCACATAGGATATGCTTCTTCCACTTGAAACCACTCATGACATTTAGCGTGTTCCAATTTGATTCCCCATCTGCCAGGGCCAAGCGCTTTCTTTTAATAATCAGGGCTGGATAATCCAAAAACGAAGATTTCATAACAAAATTGATTGATGGTGAACTAGGGCTCGGGGAGCACTTTATTGTGATGGCACGTTGGGGATGTAAAGAAGTGAAATCATGTAAAAAAGAGGGGCGGTTGCAGCATCACCAATCGAATTGTCAAGACAAAAATGTTCGATGTGATCAAAAACTATGCGGTGTTTTTATGTCCACTTTCAGGCATGGAAAGCTCAAGTCGTATGGCTTGGCTGGTGTATTTCAAGTCAGACTGCCTTGACCGTGACGCGTGGTCATCGGGCGCTAAGGTATATTGGAACAACCAATCACTGATCACTGGGGCCTTTGGACAGCCAGGCGCTTGTCACACCCAGCCTTTAAGGTTGGCAGTGAGATTGTGAGGCTCGGACCCCAGTGGCTAGATCTCATCATCTTCCGAGTCTCCGGGCATGGCAGGTGCCGGTCTGTCACAATGAATGTGATCAGATGGATGAGGGGAGGGGCCCCGTGGTGACGTCATCGGTTACTTCCGGATATGAATATGCATGCTGTGTATGTAATCACCCGATGGGTGAATCGAGGATTATCGGCCCCTTCGGTGTTATCTAATTACCTTCCTCTCGGCACAGCTTTGCCACTCCATACACAACCGCACATTCGATAGAAGACCTACGCGGCAAGCTCTGATCAGAAATCGCCTCCCCCCCACACATTTAATACCCGATCTGCGTTGTCGAAATTTCCACAATCCAATGAAGGTATGCATATATTTTCGGCTTTTGTCGGTCACTCTAATCGGCCATTTTACCTGCGTGATACTGATAAAGCTGAACGAAATCCACAGATCCTCACCAAAGAAGAGGAAGAAAACCATTATCAAGCGGTCATCAAAGGAGGGACCAGATGGGGACTTACTGGCATAACAAGTGGCACGATAGCTGCATCGATTGCTAATCGATATTGGTCCGGATTTCGAAATTTGACAGTCTTGAGTCGTTTCCACTCATATGTTTATCTAAATCTGGATGATCTGCTCACTTATTCGATGTTTTATTCTTGGCTGTTCAATAGTTACCATTGAAAGCCTTTGCAGTCACATCCCTTGGGACGTTTTCGTTGATAATCGGAGCAGATAGAGCTTCTCGCGCGTACGAAGACAGCAAATTTGATCATGATCTGGATGGACGTTGGAATGACCAAAACTTGGAACATCACTTAGGTCTCGATGATCAGGATGAAGATCATCATCGCAAGAAACTCGATCGATTCGATGCATTAAGCTCAAGAGATAAACTTATCGAATATCTCAAGGAGAAAAAATATGAAATTGTCTTGGGCGGGTGAGTGACTTTCTCTACTGTCTTTCTCAACACCAGACTTTTTTCGTGATTGCAGCTCAGCATTTATTGCTTTGCTCCACTTTCGTCTGATGAAATCTGGTCGTAGCTGGGCTGCTTCAATGGTTGGTTCCTTTGGACTCGTGGCAGCGCAACCGATGCCATTTACGCAAAAACTTGTCCAAGCCAGAATGTATGTTTTGTTTGCGACCTGCGTCCGGACAATAGAGATATTTAGGCATTTATTTAGATGAATGTTTTCTATCTATACGTTTGGTTAGGTATGCTCAAAGTTTGACGGTAGCGATGATTCTCGCATCGGCTGGATTGGCGAGTATGGCGACTTCAAGTTCCAGTGATGGGACATCCGAACAAGCCTTACGAACCAATTCAATGTACAAGTTCAGTGGACTACCAAATCCTTTCTGACCACCCCTGGGCGTCAGTGTAAACACTAATAGACAACCCACTTTTCCCCAGGTTTAAAAAAGGATCTCCTCATGAGCTCCGTGAACAAGAACTCAAAGACTCCAAGATCCGCCAAACTTCTTGAAGGCTCTCATTGGAGAAGGTCCTGGCTCTCCTTTGCTCATTGTATGTTTTAAAACCCTTTGTCGGTTACTATTACTTAAAGGTACTTCTGTAACTCTTTTTATTATCAAGCATTAATCGTCACTTCTCAAGTCTTATCTCGTCCACTTTAGATCTATTTTCCGCATCGAATATCCCCAATCATTCTGAAACAACGTTTTATGTTGGGCCTATCATCCGGTACATAGCTCCCTTATCTTAAATGCTCTTAGCTCTCATTGTTTAAAGTTTTCACAGAGTCCCGGCATTCATTTTTCCTAACTTGCATACATATATCAATTGTTTTATCTGTTTATTTCAAAGGAAGGCGTAGCCACCTGTATAGCTCAATTCTGCAACCGGTCCTGCAAGAAGCCAGCCCATTTTATCCGAGCTTGATTGTGTTTGATTGTTTTTCCGGCATCATGGTGTTTCCTTCCTCCGAAGTTAATTGTATGCAAATTGGAATCAATATTCAGTTAGTTTTACTAAATTATCGGGATCTAAGAACATGAATTATGTAGGTGGTCAAATCTAGTTACTTGTGTGACGCGCATTAATGATTGGTAATGAATTAAGAAAAGATTTTTTTTTGGCAAAGCACAGAAACCAACATTTAGACACGAGAGAGACAGAGTATTGAATATATGAGAAGAAAAGGTTGGATAAGTAGATTAAGCAGAAAGGAAGCAAATTTGAGTTTTGGATTTATGGGATCCACCATGAACCAACAGGGTGATTCGAGCTGAATGATGAGTGTTTGTCATCATATCCAAGTGGTTTTGGAGAAAAGCCCTGTTTGATGCTGCTCGTCTAAAAGTAAGACTCAGCCCAGCTTCACTTCATCCTCATTTGGCGCAATCGCTACATGTGCGATAGAACAAGAAATATAAAACCAAACCAGCAGCGATTATGAGTTGGGGCATCGAATCACTAATTTTTTGGATAAGTGAGTCGTCTATAAAGTGATCCACTCCTCTTTGGAGAAGGTCAGTCGCTCCTCTTTGAAGCGTCTCAAATGCCCCGGACGAACCACCCATCGATTGATAATCTCGAGGATAGTAAGTTGGCCGACCAAGACGGCGTTGGTTTGGCCCACCGTCAACCGGGTAACCCCGTGGGTAAGCTGGCCCACCTGGATAGGATCCCCTTGAACTTGCATGAACGGGGTAACCTTGAGGTGGATACGCCTGGGGCATCGGTCGTGGATACGCCGGAGGGGTTGATTGCGGAGGCCTTTGAGGTATTGGTTCTGTCCATGGAGATCCTTGTTCATTTAGCTGACTGTGGATTTGCCGAGCAAACTCTTCATCTTGGCTGGTGTTGGGTCCACTCCAAGCATTCGCCATATCGGGAGTAAGAGCATGTGTATGTTCGGGAGAAGCTCCACCCTGATGCACACGGTTCAATTCCTCTTGAAGTGCAAGCGCCACTGCTAAATCGTTTGCTTCAGAGGTATCTGGCGAACTACTAGGATTCCCATGCTCGTAAATGGAATTTTCAGGACGAAAGGGCTGAGGAGCATCATCATTCAGCGAATGAAAAATCGCCAGAGCCGTAGCTTCGTCTTCATCATAGGGCTCAGTGCCACCCAAGCCAGGCGCAAGCTCGCGATGATGAGGCCCACCGTGTGGAGGAGCGGGAGGAGTGCGAGTTTCGAAGTTCGACGATCTGGGAGGAGAAGCATCACCTTGGAAGCGATCATGGTCTTGAGGTGGAAGTGCACTTGGCTGACTCATTCCTGCATTCCCAGAGCTGACAAGCTCTGGAGCATTTTGGCGTAGATCAAGCTCTGTTTGTATAATTTCCGCGGCAACCCTCGCCGCAACTTCGTCCGGATCCTCCGCCGGAGGTACTACTTTGCCCAAACGAGCCAGCTTTTTCTTGCGCTTCTCTGTTAACGGTGGAGGTGGCGCACGACACAGGGCACACTTCGTCTGCCTGTCAACCATATCCACGAAGCAGCTTGTGTGATAGGGGTGTGCGCAGACGGGCCACCTTTGTCTAAAGATGGGTCGTATGTCAAACCAACGCTTCCTCGTCAAGCGGCCAAAACATATCGCACAATTCGTTAACTAGACTCAAGCCCCCCGTTGATTCAGCAGATGAACTCTAAAATCTCAATCAGATACGCCGTACGGTCACTCACCGGAGGTTTCTCTTTTGGTGCAACAACTTGCGCCGTACCCTCAGCGGATCCTTCCGAAGCTGCGACCGAACTTGACGACTGAGTTAAATGGCTCGCCTGGGGTACCTCCTCCAGAATCTGCTCCTCTGCGGCTAGCGTAAATGATTGATAGACTATTACTTGGAAAACCTTTTTTTGTCAGAAAAATGCACTTGCTCAGTTTCGAAACGCGTTCAGCGGAGCGCATATGGAGAAGTGTATGAATCAGCCTTACCAGAATGTTTATGAGGAAGAACGCTCTGACTAACATTTCCCAAAGACGTAATCGGGTTTAATGTATTTTAGGCACAATTTCTATTCGCTGTCCGTCTATGCAAAATGGTTTCGGATCGGCCGGCCAAACGGGTTGTAGAAAATATGTAAATATATGATCAGTAATGATCTCGAATCGATAGTATTGTGTTGTCCTACTCAAAGGATATTAGGATCGGTGATAAATTATAATGCCTTCCTGGAGAATCAAGAGAGAATGGAAAGCGAACTTGTCTCGCCCCCCAGGAGGTTACATAGGAATGATAACTTCGGTGAAAGACGATAAAACCTGTGGCTTGGTAAGTGCCCACCCTTCACCTACGTGTGGGTCAGAATCCCTCGACTACTTCACACAGCTTCACAATGCCGCTCTGGAAACACGTATGTATGCCATATGCGAAGCCGCCCTGCTTGGACATGAAGCCCAAGACAGTTAACAGTGGTACTAACAATATTCGTACCGAAAGCCATTGGAAGTTCAGCATTGAATTTTCAGGTTTTCAAACGAGGGTTTTCAAAAAAATACAGATTGCCCATTCAAGTGGGTGAGGTGAGGTCAGGTCGTCTTATGGGTGCGCCGGCTCGGCAAGGAGTCTTCTCTGGATCCTTAAGTCTATGTACCCATCCGCGGGTCAATGCCGACAGTAAATTCATTGAGCCAGTAAAGACATCGAACAAGCCGGTCCGACGCCTGCTAGGAGAGATTGCGTCCGACTAGCCCTGCATCCCGCTGGGCCTAGGAACCGTTTGAACACATTACAGCTACTCCTTGGACTTGGCTTTCGAAGCAGTCAAGCTTTGCAGTGGGCGACCCGTGGTGATTCCAACATTGATGACTCGTGGAGCCCCATGGGAGTTAAGACCTGGGGCTGCTCTTCTCAATATGTATTGAATCAATCTGAAACTTGCAACTTGACAATGAGATTACTGGAGGACTTCCCGTCGGATCTGGGAGCCTCGCAGTTTCCGATTTAGACCCAAAAAGTCTAGATTTTTGCAGGGAAATCTAGCTTTTTCGGCTCTAAATCGAAACTGGGAGCCCCGCAGATGTTGACGGGAAGTCATCCACTGGACATGGTTGCTTGTTTTTGACAAATACACCCCAGGACAAGTTACACCAAGGGTGCACTTTGGCATCCTCGGGACATCACACAAAAAAAGATCCCAGGTGCCCCACATCCATTTAAAAGAGAGACCCACCATCACAATAGCCTCACAACAAGGCTCTTTTAATGGCTTTTTAGGACCTGGGACAGCTTTTTGGCTAGAGATGGAACTTTGCAACCAGGTACCAGTAACGGGTGCGGGCACCTGCTTGCAATTCCACTGATTTTGGACACTCCCACCCGCACCCGCACCCTGCACCTGCTGGAAGGTTGCAGGCACACACCAAGAGTTACAAACAGCGATATAGACAGGTACCTGCCTACAATTCCACTTAATTTGGACACCCACAATCATACCTGGAACCTACCATTGGGTACTTATTGGCAGGTAGCAGGGACTAGCCAACAGGTACCTGAAGATATCTCTATTTGGGACAATTTCATCCCAGGGCTGGATCAAAAATCCAAGTTGCACCCACAGTGTAGGTGGTGGCTTTCAAGGGGCTCCCAAGGCGCCACAAACAGAGAAACCCTCCACAGCAAACTTTTGCAAAACATCTCATTGCTGCCATCAGCTGGCACACAAGGTGTTGGAATTTTGATGTCTTTTACTCATCCCAAAAGCTAGCTGTTTCTTTTATGATCCCATTGCCTGAAGTTCCCTATCATTAGAGCCTGTTTTTAGTATATGTTATGCATATCTGAATCAGCTTCTTTTAGTCATTGAGCCCTGAAGAATAGATCTTATCAGCTCTCTAGCTGGAACTTTCTTCTTTTCAGTGCACTTTCTTGTTGGTGCATATCATATTGAATTGATTTCTTTTTTCCTTCATTTTATTTCTTTTTCCAACCAAATTTTGATCATATTTTCTAGGCTACTCAAACTGACTAGTAATGAACCTGACAAAATTTATTTCTTAAAGACAAAAACCAGAGTTATAAAAAATACCATTAGGGTATATAGATGATAATAAGAATCAAAATAAAACACTGGCATACCGAAAGAGTTTCATAATTGACTCCAATAGAAAACTATAAAATTAAAAGACAGGACAAGTGACAAGTAGCTCTTAAATAGAACAGGAATGAGCAAGATTGTCAATCAAAGGAAAAAGGGAATAAAGAAGTGATTTGTTGTGCAATTCTCACAAAGTCTAAATAGGAGACAAGACATCCAGAGATTTAGGAGTCGATCTGAAGGATCAAGAGTTGAGATGATGATCTGAAGGATCAACAGTTGAGGTGATGATCTGGATAGATGATGGAGATTGATTGTTTCGAGTGGATTAGGATGAGTTGTCAATAGGAAGACTGGAGAATAGAGGGAGTTGAGATTGGGGCTGTTATTATACTCAAGATCTGACAGGCCAATTAGGTTTGTACTGATGATAAATAAGATTCAGGATTGAATTTGAATCTACATGCGGGGTTGGCACACTTGAGCTATGGTGGGTGCGGTCCATCAATTGTTGGCAGTGCAGTTCAGTAGTTTGTCACTAGGTGACTAGTTTCATGGATACAATTTTGTGACCTGTCAAGTTTCAACAGCTAGTCAATGAGAAATTCAAATGATCCAGATCAGTTCTCCTTGATTTTAATCTTCTGCCACCCTTGAGCCCCCTAAGAGTGCCACTGATTCCGTTCACAAAAACTCCCTCCTCTTCTAAATCTGCTCCTTATCAGTCATTATTTTAAACACACCATTGGGTCTGAGTTGCCTTGGTGCCACCTCAAAGCTGACTGGCAGTTCTTCTGTGAGAGCATTACAGCTGTGGAAACACCAGATTGACACATACTGAACTTAAAAAAAGTGCCCCAGGTGGGAGGCTTGCTGGTGTAACTGGCTGGGTTCAAAGAGGCCCCCTCCTACAGGGAGGGGCTTGTGTACTAAAAAAACTTCAAAAACTACGATAGAGGATATAATGCCACTCCTTGGGGCATTGTGTCAAGTAGTTTTAGAGTACTGGTTTTTTTATTTTATTGAAACATTATATCTGTCCAATCATTGATTTTGTAGATAGTTACCATGAAAAATCTGACTTAGCTACATGGATCAATGAAGGGCCTAGCAATTAAATTTTTTTTCATATGTACCAGAAATTTAAATTTTGGATTGAAATGACACATTGTATTTTGAACAGAACATAGGGAACCTGAACTTCCAAGGACAAATCTGGTATTGAAAAACAAACCCTTGATTCTGCCTTCAATCCCTATCAGTCTACTGAATACTGGAGCCCAAAACTTTAGATTGTTTTGTTTCAGACACTGTAAAAATTTAATTAGGAACTATATGGATATGATTTTTAGGCTTTTTTCAGATAAGAATTCTATTTTTATTTTTATACTTGCCATCAGTCAGGCTATGGATGAATGAAGAGTATGATAAAAATTTAGAAAGAGTGAAATAGTGGAAGAGAGTAAGTGGTAAATGTTAAGCAAATGGTATATAATGGGAAGACCCTTCACTACTCCAAATATCTAATTTATCCACATCAGGAGTTCAAAAAGAAAAATATTCAAAATAAAAATGATTGGTAGTCACACTATATAGGAAAAGAAAGCAAAGAAAAAAACCACCTATTTGGTGCATGGAAAGAAGCATCCAAAGATGAGAAGATAAACATATTTTTTGGAGTTTCCTTTGACAACAACTAAACAACAATCAATTCCATTCAAACTTTAATTATTGTGCACCAACTAGACATGGTACTACTCAAAAATCAAAACTTGGGTGTGGTCTGCTAATAAATAATCAAGCCAATCAAGATTCTCAACTTGTGTGAATTCTACCATTAAGAGAAAAATAAATAATAATAAAAAATAAAAGCTGGGGTGATGATATAATGCATTTTTTGACATGAGATTCATCCAGAAAGTGATCAATTACTTTTTGAAGAATTTCAGTAGCTTTATTTTGAATATCCTCACCCATCAATTGGAATTCTTCTTGATAATAAGTTTGCCCAAAAACATGTCATTGGTTTGGTCCTCTGTGGATGGGGGATTCTGATTGCCAATAGAAGTACCCCTCTGAAACTGAATCAGTTGCCCCAAGGGGTCAAACAGGGTACTCTTGCCATTCATGACCTTGAGCTGTTGGGTGTAGATAACATAAAGGTGTTGATTGTGGATTCCCATGAGATATTGGCTGTGTCAAAGGTGGTCCTTGTTCATTTAGCTCTCTTTGGACTTGCCGAGCATAATGTTCATCTTGGGTGGTGTCAGGTACACTCCAGGCAGTTTCCAACTCACGAGGAGGAAGCTGAGGTTCATGATAAAGTTCCTCTTGAAGTGAAAGTGCCATTGCTAAATCATAATCTCCAGAGGTATCCTGCCAAGTACTAGGATTTTCATGATTATGAGAAGGATTTATGTCATGAGGGGGGTGATGAACATCATGTTC